GAAAGATCTTCACAAGTATAAGCTCGTTAGATTAACTATTCTAACATCTAGAGTAGTGCACAAGCCACAATAAAAAATCAGCCATCATTATGTCATTTTAAATAAGTGGTACTTGATTAATAAAAGTAGCAACTGTATTTCCAAAATTAGCAGGTAATCAGGCTCGCACGTTTTCCATTTGTAAAAATTAAACAAACACAGGAAGTTTATTTTTTAAAAAAAATTAACATTTAATGCACCATCTTTACCTGACGTGGCGGGCCTACACACATTACTTAAACATGCCTTAAGTAAGAGAGATAAATAGATCTGGGTAACTTCCGCCTTACTATTTTTGATTGTCTAGTGTTGTTCTAAGACAGTTTGGCAACATTGTCAAGAAAATAGGAAAGATAAAGGCGAGGCACATTATTGCTCACAATTCCGGTGGAATCGAGAATAAGTTTCCTGATTAGTACTTGATCTACGTTTCCTGAGGTCTGGGGTCCTTCACACATTTTCAGAACCCAGAACTCTTCTACAGTCTTCAGATTTTGGATGGAGATAAAGCTGAAGGAACCCAAATCATATCTATCTAGCTTAGCCAACAACACTGAGCTTTACACCTATAAACAAGACGGATGTTATGCCACCTCATTGCAGGGTTCTATGATGGAAAGTGGTCAAAAGTCTACCATCCGACGCATTTTATAGGCGACAAACGAACCGTAGGGGCGAAAGGGAAATGCAAACTGGCGGATGAGAGAAGCGCTTGAACCCCTCAAGTCAAAATGAGAGGACTAAAAACATTTTAGAGGAATTCTCTCGTAATTTATTGCCCTGAGGATTTGCTCTATTAACCGTATCTACAAGCTAAATGACTTTATAAAGGACTAATTCTTGATTTCATTTCGATTGAAAGCCACCTGAGGATACCTTGATAAACCCTGTCGCTCTTGTCAGCTTTAAGGAGCTAACCACGAGCTTAAGATTTCTCTTAAAAACAAGGGCGAATTCGAGGGAGCCTTCGTCTTTTATAATCCTTGGACTTATTCCCCAGTTTGATTTCATGAAATTTAAACTTACCATATCCATTCATCTCCCCGCCAGCAAAAGGCAGGTGGTGTGCGTACACGAGCCACTCGTAGAAGCGACGCTGAAACCTAGTTAGCCTTTGCCATGCTCCACTATCAATTGGAGGGATGGTGCTAACAGAGATAGTACGGGTTGGCCTATTCCAATCCCTGAGCCGCGGGGCCTTAACCTTGCGTTCCCCTTTAAGGTCACCGCGACTATGATTAAGACTGTAAGCCAAGGAGAGGCTTGATCGATGCGGTGTGGAGACAGTAGAGGCCATGGTCCTGATTCCACTCTAAATTACGTAGCTGCTTCTGTTAGGTTCTCCTTCTGCCAGGTGTAGGTTTGACTGTGAGTGTGTATGTGCATAATTTGGCGATTTATCAAGGCCATTGAGCCAAGCACACGTTTATGCGCACTCAGCACATGAACAACCTGGCCGCCAAGTGTCATTGGTTAGCTCAACCCCAACAATTACATTTTTAGCCTACTTGGTGATCAATAGTCGCGATGAGGGAAAATTAGTGCTGGTGCGATCCTGACGATTCCAAAACGAAAGAGGATTAGTTCTCCAGAACTCATTGTGTCTTTTAATGTGAGATCTCTTCATCAAATCAAAGCTTAAATATATTGCAGCAATGTACCATCTAAGATTAACACAATTCATTGGAGTTTCCATCTACTGACCACCAAAGTGAGCCACAATAGAGGAAACATGGCAATTAGTGCTACTTAATAAAGAGTTTGGGTTTCGATTGGCTCGTCAGCAGCGTCCCAAGATTCCCCAGTAGGCAGAAGAAGGCATTACGCTGAGCTAATAGCATGCATCCCAAAAGAGGAAGAAGCTATTGGGCTTTGGCCTGACCTGAAGACCATTCCATGCGCACAAGAGCAAGACAGCTACCGACGTACAGGTGGTCAAATAAGCAAAGTATCACATCGCTGTCACGGCGATAATATCAGGATTACTGTAATAATTACTAGCATAAACCTTAAACTCTCTAGCTACTTTCTCAAGTCAAACTCCGGTGCAAGCCATTGCTGATAAGAAGGTCAAGCCTGAAGCTCACCCGGTAGACATCCATCCATGGGTATGGACTTGCTTCAATGGCCCTGTAGCCAGCATAGATTCCCTCAGTGAAAGTTGTTGCATGCATTAACCACTCACTTTGTACGTTATCAGCCTAACACATCCGTTTCGTAAATGTCCTTACCCCATAGCGAGTCAAAACTGTGTATTTCAGACAGTATAACGTAGCATTAAGTGTTATCTGTCGTACAACCTAAAACACCCCTATTTCTTTCGCTTCGAGTTCGCTGACTGGCATTTACAGCAACAGTCTGTTAGATCGGGCGCTCACTACACGTGGTTGCCATGATGCGTTCGAGTTAGCGGGAACAAATAGCTTTCGGATTAATCTGTGGGCTGGTCAGGTGCCTTGCTAAGGCCCCCAAGGCAACAAAACGTAGACATGTGTAAAGCGCCGCGTTTTGTATGAGAGCCACGCATTAGTTTGAGGAGGCTTCTCAGATAAAATATTTCAGTAAAAATAGATAGTACAAACAACCTTGCCAGTTACTAAAACTAACTGAAATCCTTCAAATATCATCCATAGAATATTGTTGCACTGAAAACAGGGGCAAAGAAATGCTTTAAACATAACCTCAACATGGTTCATTTGGTTTTTAATTTTCGCTGCCTCTGACCTTAGTGCTGCGCAAAATCATGATACCCATTTAGTTCTTCTGTTATTAAGAGTTTGCTGCAATAAATATCACTCCTTCAGCCAAATAATTTGTATTTTTATGCAAGCTTACAACGAAAAATTTAATAGGATTTGGCTGAGCAAACCCTGAGTGTTGTGAATTTTACAGCTTTGCCTAAAAAAATATCTTTTATGAAGCTCTAATTGCTATAAATAAATTTGTGGGGTTGCGCCTACAAAGGACATCACTTTACCGTCACTAAGGTCAGTCAATTTGTCTTACGGCCAAGAGGCAGTTTGCCTATCACAAACCGCATGCAGGCATCGTTAAGTTGACGACACCCACTATCGTAGATTTATCAGTATTTTGAAGAGCAGGTGAAGGAGTGCGTGATTTTTTGGAGGCGAAGGCTTGGAACCAACTTATGCCTACTGGACAGCCACTTTAGATGATCGTGTTAAAAACTGGTTTTGCTTGTGCTAAAGAGGACTCAACATCCGATCCTGGAAGGCATGCCCATGAATTTTTAGCGTGAGGAACATCCAGCCGACCGTCAAGATGGATAGAAAACGAACA